GGTCTGTGGTAAATTATTAGAACTTAAGCATGACATATCGTAATAATCTGGTTAGAGTCTGTGGGACTGAACAGACCTTCGCTCAATCGTTATTTGGAACAATTTGGTGGTTGATTTCATGATTTGTGTTTTGAGGAATTCATTTAAGGGCTGCAGAGGGTGTGTGTGTGTTGAGTCTGGTTTGATTCAAACTGCAAGTTTGAGTGTTTATGGTTTTTTGTTTAGTTGGTTTCTATAAAGGACGGATGTTTTACCCAGGATGCCCCCCGACTCTAACCCAATGAGATAGACTCCAGCCCCGTGCAGCCATGAACCGGGTTAAGCGGGCATAGAAAAATGACTAGTAGCATAGAAAACTGTTCAGGATTAAGACGGAGCACAAAAAGGCTGTAAAAAGACTTGACGGCCTACCTGTTTCGGCCCGAGTCCCGGAATCCTTTGGCAAAAGGGTTGCGGTCGATCTTTAGTCTGGTGATCTACAGAAAAGAGGAGACGGGATTTTTTTTATTTTGCTTTATCCCAATGCAATGCAGCTTGAAAATATTTATATATATGAAAGCATTTGATCGTATTTGTCATTTGGACCAGATTTTGCAGGCCGTTGATCGAATCCAGATGCTGTTTTTTTGGAAGGCGCAGAGCAACAGCTGCTTACTTGTTGGTTCTGGTAGGCAGTGACGGTGGTGAAGACGGTCTCGGGGAAGCTGAAGGACTTGACCCCCTCCCCGCTGGGCACCTGTTTGTTGGGGGACAGCTCGCTGCTGAAGTCCTTCCTGATGACGTGCACCCGGGGCTGGTACTTGTGCATGGAGTGGAGGATGATCTAAAGCACAAAGAGAGGGAAACTCAGTCCTTTCTTAACGCAGATCGACTCCGACCGGGTTTCTCAGTGCGAATTTAATCAATCTACTCCCTTCCAATTAGGGAGGAAAAAACCACAAAACCCATTTGCTTCCAAGCTGGTAGTTCAAAGCGCGGACCTTTTGGGAGTTCCCCTCATATCAGATAGCCCCCACTGATCTGTGGCGGGGTTTTTTGGGTGACATCAGGCGGAAACTAGCTTCACACTGCCCCGGCGCTTTTTTCGCTGGAGGGATTATTTCACAGCAGAGCAGAGGCGTCAGGCTGCGCCGGCCCCAGCCTCGCCTCGGGGTCTCAGTCTGCTCCTGATTAAACGGAGAGTGAGAAAACCTCCCCAGAGCCAAACACCAACCCCCCCCCACCCCAAAACTCTCTCCACGCTTTGCTACAACAGAGGGGGTCATTTCAAACCAGAGCTGCAGGGGAAAGGAGGGGGATACCTCTAAATATTTAAAAAAAACACAAAAAAAGAAAATTTAAAAAATAAAAATACATTGCATGCCATGTTCCAGACCTCAAATCACAAATGCAAATAAATGCAGAAAATCAAGCCTGAGCCCTGGCACCCACACACTTAAATTCCTTTTAAAAAAAAAAAAAAAAAAGCTCTTCTCCATTTGCGCGACTCAGCAGTCATTTTGTGGCGTTTTTACTCTGCAGACGCCGCACAAATTGCATCCCTGAAGGAGAAAAAAAAAAAAAAAAGTCAGGCTCTCTTTTCTTTTTTGGTGCCGCCGCCCGCGCTTTGAATCGGTGTAACGTTGGCATTTTGAAAATGGAAATTAGAAGATTTAAGTAGCCCTTCAGGGGGGAAGGTTTACACATAATGACTGCAGATTAGGCATGTTTTACTATTCTTATTTTTCTCCCTCGCTGCTGAGATTTCAGTGGGGAAGTGAATGTACGATTGTTTTACAGTCTAATCGGTTATTATAGACATAAATACTCCTGGAAAAAAAAAATGTAATGCATCATAATCGCTGCCTGTATGTAATTTTTGCTTGAAGAGACCTATGGGATTACAGGTAAACTAATAAAAACTTGCTAGAAATGCAAACATTTTTACACAGGCACTAAAAGAAGTGTATTGGTGTTTTAGAGGACAGATGCGATTGGTCCGTGATCAGTCTGAGGTATAAGGCTAAATTAGTCTAAGTTTATCAACTCAAAAGAACAAACAGTAGATTGTGTGCAAATCCTAATCCTATTGCTTGATTTTCCTGAATTTTTTCTTGAATTTCTTGAAATTTTTCTTAAATTTTTTCTTGAAATTTTTCTTGAAATTTTTCTTGAAATTTTTCTTGAATTTCTTGAAATTTTTATTGAATTTCTTGACATTTTTCTTGAATTTCATGACATTTTTCTCTAATTTCTTGAAATTTTCTTGAAAATCATGCACTGCCGTGTCAGCTAATGAGCAGAGAGTGTGTGACTGTGTGTGTGTGTCTGTGTGTGTGTGTGTGTGTGTGGACTGCAGAGCTGTATCCCAGTGCCTCACAGTTCGTCCCGATGAAGAGAGAAAAAGCCGCATCTCTCAAAAGCAAATTTCGACTATTTCTGCAGAGAAATGGGCAGACGATCAAAGCGGGCCGTAAAAAACATTTACGGTTGAGTTCCGAGCGATCTCGCACAAAAGCATTGATATGTTACAATGCATCATTAAGAACAAAAGCGGAGCGACCCAAAAAAAAAGAGAGCTTTTGGCTGGTCCTGCATGTTTCGGGGTTTTATTAGATTTTTCCCACAGAGCAGAGATGACAGGACAGGGCGACAGAGGGAGGCTGATGGGAACCCATGTGGGCACAGAGCTTTAGTTTTAGTTTACTGCATCATTCCCCTCCAAAATGTGGTCTTACGACAGGTTGACGGCAAAAAAAACTCCATAAAGCAATCATGGAGGCATCGGGCTTCATGCATGAGTCCCTGTTGCATTCAACAACTTTTGTTTTTTAGTTTCTTTGGATATTAAATGATAGTAACGGCACGCTTAATTCATTAAGCGTCCTGGACCACAGTCACCTTTATTATGCTGTAAATTATGCTTTGATTTCCAATATGAATTCTTGTTTCTCTACTTTTGGGCCATGTCACGGATTCATCCACCAACATACAACATTATTCACTTTAATCCAAGAGTTATTACCCAACTACGGGGATAGGCTCCAGTCCCCCCGCGACCCCATTAGGGAATAAAAGGATTCAGAAAATGGATGTATAGTTATTACCCTTGTAAAACATCTGTGTCGTGCACAAACAAAATGAACTGAATGCTGCTCTTACCAAGAAGTTACTCCACGATGATCTGTTTTAATGTACATTTTAGACAATGTTGCATAAAGCAACAAGCTCTCAAATAGCAGATATTGGAGCAACTTCCCACATTGTCATTTTTTTGTGGATTTATTTAAACTATTTTAACATTCACAGGTGGGTGACAGGTGAGGTGTGAGTAGTCACAACTGGGTTAATATGTACACACAAAAAGGAGAGGAAAATGGATTTGTTTCAATGCTGACTTGTTTTTGTAAAATACACGAAAGGTTTTAAAATGACTTAAAAATAAAACATTTTAAAACAAATCTGAATCCATTGTTTAGCACTTCAATTACTGTTAACAAATCACATGTAATTTACATGTCTTAAATCAAATGGAATCAATATTTCTTTCACGTTTTTATTGCGGACAAAACAGCTGAGAAAGGAATATCAAATATAAAATATTCGATCAGTATTCTATCAGGTGTTTTTTTTAAAGCAAAGCTTCAAGAACGTGATGATGCAACAGGTCTCAGATATGGTGTTAAAGGGTTAAGTCAGGTGTCAATCACAAGCTAAGGATTCCACATCCCAGTTTTGGAAACAGTATGCTTACATGTAAACTGAATTTACTGACAGAATTCAAATTTATGTCTGATTACATTTACGAAGCCTATTAATTCCCAAAACATATAATTAGTGACTCATTTGTTTTTGTGTGCCAATATGGCCACAGTATCACTTAAAGTTTTGCTTCTCTGGAGGCTGTGGAGTGCAAAGAGAAGCTGTGGAAACAGGGAAACACTACAATGGAGTGCTTTATTTACTACTTTAAATGTTCTTTCATAATGACTTAAGTCCAGGATTTATTCCTCCATTGTCATAAAAGATTGATGTGAATTTATCGGAGCTGGTTGTTAAAGTTCTGTGTCTCTTTTCTAGTCTTAACTGTGACACAAAAACCACAAAAGTCCAGCGTTATTGACCTGAAACTGTCATCGCGAAATGAAAAGCTAAAAGTTTACTTGAGTTTGAATTTAGTGTGCTGACTCAGGATCTGCTTCTGACCAGGCAGACGTTTGGTGAAACGACTGAGCGAGAACTGGTGAGGTTTCCCCACACGGGAAGCTCCGAAATTTCATTTCCTTTGACCACGGATCGCCCCGGAGGGACAAACGGGGGTGGAGGAGAAGCATCCCTGCTTCACCACATTATCACCAGTCTCACACACTCACAGGACTTAGCTACAGTTCGAAAAACTAGTTTGATTTTTTGTCTGTTCTATGTGAAAACAACACTGTGAGGCTTTGTGAGCCCCAAATTGGTGTGGATCTGACTTGTTTAAGTCAGTAAAGTGAAGTTAAAAAGCTTTAGTTAGACACACTCAAACTATTTCATGCTGTACTCTGGTAACTTAATAATAAGCAATCCATCCGTTTACTTTAAACAGAAATCCTTTGGTTTGAAGTGCCATTCGTCAGGTAATACTCCTTGTTACATATGCATATCAAATTTTTTTGTGCTATTTAATCAAATTTTTTGGCTTGTCAGAGAACATTCTGCCTTTTTTTAACCTCGCATTGGTAATAAAGTACCAATAACTTCAACAATAGGGGACATTCTTAAATATAACCAAACTTAAAACCATTTGTTGTGTATTTAAAATGATTAAATAACACATAAAAAGCTCAGAGTCCCCTGACTTGTTATCAAAAGAGATGCTATCTGTTCTAGAGAGAAAAAAAACACAATAAAAACCTGATTCTTTGAGCAGCGCCTGCAGTGCGTCACCCTTATTGGCTTTATTCACTAAAATTCAGAAAAGGGGAGTTAAATGAGCTTTGACAGACCGTTTGCAGCCATTTTTAACTATATCTGGCCACTAGAGGCCAGAAATTCCCATCCAAAAAAGGTGTAAAAATGTAAAAAACTGTCAAATGTGACTGCTGCCTTTTTGTTGTGGTTGTGGAGACTCTCAAACATGGCGATAGAATGTTTTTAGTACTCACTTACAGTCTTCACATATCAGTCTTCTTTTGTTTTTTTGTCTTTTGTTATGAACTACACACACTCCAAGCTAAAAACAATCATATTTCCTCCAATTTTTCTATCATGAATCGAATATAGTGCTTTATTCTGCTGTCATAGGAGAACTATGACACTAATTCCCACTAATTCTTAATGGCCATCACCTAATAAAGTCCCTTTCCCATGATACTTTTCTCAAAAAAGCTACACACTCGGGCTAGTGGCAGTTTTGCTGATTATACAACAAGCAAGGGCAGTAAATCAAACAAATGCTGGTTGAACTCGCTGCATTACTCAAAATTATTTCACTTAGGAAAGCCGCGTTACACTTTTAGAGCAGCCAAAAACCTATAAGTGACTTATTTAAGCTCACCACCTCCTTCGCTGCACGGATACCAGGCGGGCAGTAAATCAGAGGGACTGCGGTCAGATTTTAGATTTAGTTCAGTTGTGTGGCTGCTGGAGGGGGACTACAAATCAAACGCAGTCATTAAGTGCCCTTAGAAAAACTGTTTCATTCCGATATCCACGAAGGAAATAGATATTATGCATCGAAGGGGCATGGGTTCAAATCCCAGACTTGTAAAAAAATATTTCCTGCGTAATGCATCAGAAAAAGAAAAACAGATTGCGGGAGGCAGCAGACAGAAAATCGATTCTGAACTCATCGTTTTGGTGAGTCACCGAAGCGTGAAGCCCGCGAAGAGTCGCGTCAACTTTCCTTTCATGCAAATGCTTCAGAAAACGTTTCCAATCCAAGAGCTGTCACCCCGCGCCCGAGGCGCTTTCATTCACGGCTGCGAAAGCGTGAAATGGGAAGCCCGAAAAGTCTCTCCAAGTCTGGGGTTTATCGCTCGGGGTCTGAACCGAGGGTCGACGGAGGTGGAGGCTACTCTACTTGTGTTGTAAGACGCATTTTGTGCGCCGACGTTTGACAAAAAACATGTTTTGAAAGCGTTTTGGAAACCCCTCCCCTCTGGCAGAAGGTTGAGAACCATCAGGACCAAAACCACACGCCATAAAGATAAAAGTTTTTATCCAGCAGCAACTGGCCTCATCAACGAGGCCAGTGACCCCCACCCATTCTTCTCTCACCCCCCTCTACCCCACTAGTTTACCCAATACTACGTTCAACTTTTTCTGGTTTGTCGTTGGACATTCAATTTTTTTTATTTTTTATTTATTATTATTATTATTATTTATTTGATTTTATTCTATATTTTTATATTTTTCTTTCTACATTGTATGTCGTTTCTTGTTCTCATATAAGTGTTGTGCACCTAACACCAAATCAAATTCCTTGTAGGTGAAAAACCTACTTGGCAATAAACCTAATTCTGATTCTGATTCTGATTTTGATTCTGATTTATGACGAATGTGAGGGAAAATGGAGCAAAATAAATGAGCGACTGTATAATTCCTGGTTTATATCATGTGGGAAACGTGGCAGATGTTAATACGTAGGTTGTATTGTTTTTCATTTTCTTTAAATGATACATTTGTGGTGAACGTTTTTCTGTCTTTGCTTGATGAATTACCTCAAAGCTGCACACAGCTGGTGCTGAGCTTCAATTTCTTTTATTTTATTGCATTTTTCTTACATAAAAGTGAAGACTGGGCCTTTTAGGAGGAGAGAGCTAAAGGATCTAAGGCTGAAAATGAATATTATGTGAAATGCTGATGCTTCTCTGCAGAAAAGAACATCAAATCTCTGCTTTTTGACCCAATAAGTAGTTAGGATACATTAAAAAAAACTGCTTCGTCTAAGATTGGGGTATAGAAAAGAGAAAGAGAGGGGAAAAAATGGCGCCGTCCTTACGTGCCCCTGGTCGTCCAGCTCGTTGTTGGTGAGCTTGAGTTTGTCGAAGCTGACCACCTGCCTCATCCAGGTGTCTCCGGAGGCCAGGGAGTCCGGGTGGATGTAGACCCGGGGGGGCACGGGGGAGTCCGCATTCCCCGCCACCATCCACTTGGAGCTGTGGTACACATACCTGTCACAAACCACAGGAAAAAGCGCGTTGAGAAGCCGGATTTCAGGTTTAAATAATTCTGCTGGGGGCTTTTTTTTTTTATGTCACATGCCAAACGATGCATGCTCCATAAAACTAAATGACAAATCCTTTCTTTACACATTTAGATGAGCTAGTTTGAAGGCAAAAAATCAGAAAAGCTAGCCCCCCCTCTGTGCACAGCTCTCGTGTTTTCAGATGCTTTTGCTAATCGTGTTTTCGTTCCACATAAAGTTGGTGGAGGTCTGATATTCCCTCATCACTTCGCTGTTTTCAAAACTGGCCGGAGGTTACTCCGGGGTTGATCCGTTTTTTTTATAAAGATCTCTTGGACCGAGAGGGGCCGGAGTGGCTCGGGCTTTTTTTTTCCCCCCCAACACTGGAAAAACAAACTCCAAACAATGAGCCGTGTTGCCACAACACCGGCTGTTGAAACTCATCTGCTGTTTCTTTCTTTCTTTCTTTCGGCGCTCGGAAATTTTTCTAACGAGAGCGACGTAAAAAAAAAAAAATCCCACATGCAGTCACACGCTCCGCCGCATAGTTTCAATTAAGCATAGCCATAATATTTGACGATGTTGTGTGTGAGTTTAGGTGCGACGGGGCGTCTTGCCCGTTAAACAGCGGGAAGACGGAAGAAAAGAGAGCAAAACGAGAGGGGAGAAAATGAACTTTCAGCATCCCTAAAGCCAGAAAGCACCGCTTATCCCTAAAAAGGAGGAAGAAAAAACAAAAACGGGGAGGAATAAGATAGAGGAAGAGACGGTGTCATTGGTTCGGAGGGGTGGAAGATAAAGAAAAGAAAGTGTGGGCAAAGCAGACGGAGCCAGGGAGCCGTCGGTGGAGAAAGACGAGAAGAAGAGGTGAAACGAATAAAAGATGGAGGAAGAGGAGAAGTGTGAGTGTGTGTAGCTGGGAGAGAGAGAGAGAGAGAGAGAGAGAGAGAGGTTGTGCAGCACAGCTGTTTGCTTTTAGTTCTGGCCCCGCGCTCCGTTGAAAGTGTTTTATCTGCAGCCTCTCTGCCAAAGTCATCACTCACCGCTGAAACACGGACAAAACTCTCATTTGGTCCTTTTGTTATTGCCTCCGAGGGGCCGGCCCCCTCTCACACACACCAGAAAAAAGCCCTACCGGCCCCTCCCGCCGCAGGAATCAAACACACGCACGTTTAAGGGGGCATTTCTGGGAATCCTGGCAAACACCAATCCCCCCCATCCCACCACCCCCCCACCACCGGCCTCCAGACTGGAGCTGAAGTTAGCTCCGAGCCACGGTGAGAACCAGGAAGCCATTTTTTCCAGCATTCTAACTCTGAAAAAATCAACATGATTGGAATATTTAGATAAGAAATTTTTTTTTTTTTTTTTTAAGTGAGGACGATGTAACAAGACTGAATTTTCAAGCATATTTTAAGCATTTTTAGGCATATTTTAGTTCTTTTTTACTAGATTTCAGGCACTAAGCTTAAAAGACTCATAAACCATTAACTTTGCTGCTTCAGTTTACAGTAAACTCTATTCATATAACACTAAATTCAGACTTTAATCTTATTTTAACTCATTTATATGTATGTAATCAGAATTTAAACATCCAATGTCTGCATATCAAGTACATTTTATGCCATAGTAATAAAGAAATAATAATTTCACGGCTGATATAGGGGCATATTTGTATTCCCCCTCCTTGTGCAAAATAGATTAATTTAAAATAGATTGGTCCGCAAAAAAATGGAAGCCTCTATAAAACATAATACAAACTCAAAAAACCATCATTTCTGGCTTCGGATTTGAACACAGAAAACGATACCGCAGAAATATCAGAGACACACATTCTGGGAAAGAGAAGCAAAGTTTGCCCCAAGACTCTGTCCAACAATCCTGACACGTCTTCCATCTTAACTGACAACTTTTGGATCCGTGCGTGCGCAGCAAAGTGGGACAAACTAAAACAGCGTTGTCAGTACAGGAATCCAGATTTCACCACAATCTGTTGGCCGACACGGATGTTTCTGCACGGCTGAACGAAAACCCCCAAAAAATGGAAAAACATTGTTCTTTTTCTCAGGTGAGAGTTTTGCTGCAGTCGGTTTTGTGTTTACGCCTTTTTGCATGCGCGGGAAAATGCACGTTTGTGCAAAATCCATCCGAAACGACTTCAAACGAGGAAACTCTTTCTTTATTCTTGTTTTCACTGATTTTACACAGTCACAGGACACACTGGAGAAAGTCCACCTGCCTAAACCAGCTTAAAAATTAAGTTTAGCTATCTTCCTAGTTCCTTTTAACCACTGGATCTGCTGTTTGGTGGACACAATTTGTCCAGATCGTGGTGAATGAACATGAAAGACAGGTAACACAACCAAATCTCCACATCTGAATAAATGAGTGGCCTTTAAACTGAATCTGAATCCTTTTTCGGGAGCAAAATTGCAGAACATCCTCCATGTTCAGCCACGATTCACCTGACGATTCTCTTCTGACTCCGAAAATACCCTTTTTAAAACAGCTCAGCTTACATGGAACAGCCGATTATACATAAAATGCTCTGAATAATGGAAAAAATTAAGTACTGCCTGTTGAATAACGCAGTAACAATTCAGGGTTTTGCTTTGGAAACGCATCTTAATCTCACAAAACAGCCCCATTGGGGAATTCAGCAAGCGACTCTACAATAAATGAGCAATAACTGCGACTCGACAGCATTTTCCTCTGGTTGTAATGCGTAAGGAAGCCTCTTTCAAACAATATTTAAGTGTTTTCTATCAACATTATCCATCATCACGGAATCATTTGGTTCACAGAACGGATGAGAAGTTCCCTCTGAACCCCTTTGTGATTGTTTTTTACCTTTTCAGGTGATACAAAACGTACCCGTCTTAATTTGAAGAGGAAAACGATGGACTGTGCTGGAAAATTAGACTTTAGGGGTAAAAGAAACTAACTTAAAGTAAAATATAAGCAAAAAAAACCCCTCCAGGAACGCAATTCTCAGCCCGATCTTGCACCGTTTCTTTCCCTGTTAGCTTGACCTCAGATCACATCTGTCTGCTTTTCTTCCTTCCTGTTTGCAGCTAAAGGTGAGTGCGACAGTGACTGAGAAATACAGAGTCCAGAAACAACGAGAGATCAACATTTTTTGCTCTGTCAACTTGGCGGAGCGGATAACTCCTGCAGTCCAACTGGCAAAAGTCGATCTCTGTCTCTCCTAAGTCGTCCTCTCGGTCTGACCAGCATTTTCACATCGTGCTAGCGAGCCGCTAATCTCTACAACATGTTGGATGGAGTTTAACGGTGTTGTTTGCGTCTGAAAAACAAAATCGTTTGAGGCCCGAAAAACAAAAAAAAAACGTCGTCTCCAGACAGCTCGTAAAAAAAACATCGGCTTAAAACATATGGCAAAGCAGAGCGGAGAGACCATTTTAACAGAAACTTTAAATCCCAGTTACAGCTTAAAATCATAAAACTAAACCCAATACGTGTGCGGAGGCATTCACTGTTCTCATACTCGAATGTTGGAATATGGAGCTGACCTTTGACCTTTACACACGCTCACAGAAGGTGCCGGAAAGGTCTGTGATTTCCTGTTTGGAGAGCTGTTTAGGGTTACGCTCAGCAAAGCGGGGAAAGCGTTAAAGAACGAGGAAACTTTAGCTCCAAACGGGACTGGAAATCTGATTAGTCCCCCCCCCCCCCCCCTTTTTCCTTCCACAAAAATTCCCCCTGCCGCCGCCCCAACCAAAAAAAACCCCCCTACTTTTGCGCCCTCCCTTGCTGGGGGGGGGGGGGGGGGGGGGGGGGGGTTGCCTTCTCAGCCAACACCAAACCATACAGCTGACAGAACGCATGCTCCAATGCTCTCCTCGCTTCATTCCCACACACACACACAAACACACACACACACATACACAGACATGAAACACTTTAAAAGACATTTAGATGTCGAAAAGAACCCCGAACCGGTTATCTGTTATGGTGTAATCCAGTGTGTGCATGTGGCTCGTCGCTTTGATACTGTGAGAGGCCGAGCTCCGCACAGAAACACACAGAAACGCACAAAAAAACACACAGAAACGCACAAAAACGCACAGAAACACACACAGAAATGCACAGAAACGCAAAGAAACACACAGAAACGCACAGAAACGCACAGAAACGCACAGAAACGCATAGAAACACACAGAAACGCACAAAAACACATACAAAAATGCACAGAAACGCACAGAAACACAGAAAAACAGACAGAAATGCACAGAAACACACAGAAACACACAGAAACTCAGAAAAACACACAAACGCACAGAAACACACAGAAACGCACAG